TATCATCATCATCATCATCATCATCATCATCATCATCATCATCATCATCATCATCATCATCATCATCATCATCATCATCACCATCACCATTACCATCATCATCATCATCATCATCATCATCATCATCATCATCATCATCATCATCATCATTATCATTATTATTATTATTATTATTATTATTATTATTATTATTATCATTTTTTATTATTTTATTTTATTATTATCATCATTATTATTACAAGTATTTTCTTAATGTGTACTTTGGGGAAGTAAATTTATTCGTTAAAATAGTGAGGGGATAATTTTATGAACGTAAATGCGAACAAAACCAAAGAAATTCTTTTTTCTTTTTTTTTTTTTAGACGTTGGGGACCAAAATGTCCCAGCCTCAGAAATAAGTGACGAGACTGTTGGGGTCAGCCTGGCATGCAGATATTTAGGGGTTATTATAGACAGCATTTTGTCCTGGAACGAATCAAGTTGACCGTATTTTACTTTTTTAAGGCTAATGTCCACGTAACAATAGATGAATGTTCTAGTTTCTGTGAGATTTATTAAAACAATATATTTCTAGTTCCCATGTGTTCTTATACAGTAATTGTTGAAGCTTCTGTGTGTTTTTAAAAGACAGTTGTTTTTTTATTCACATGCGTTACATTAACCAATTGTTGTAGAGATTCTGTGTGTTTTGTAGAGCATTTGTTCTTTGTGTTCTATAAAGCAATAATTGTTCTCGCTTCTGTGTCTTTTATAAAGCAATAATTGGTCTATTTATTAATGTGTGTTCTATAAAACAATTGTTCTAGTTTCCGTGGGCTCTATATAAAGCAATTGGTCGCTTTTAAGCACAAGGGGACCATCCTGAAAAATGCTGTTTTGAGAAAATCGAAGGTAAAGTTTTTGCCCCTTGTTCAGTTCCTTTAAAATTCAAGGTGAGTTTTCTCTACAGCCAAACAAATATATACACCAATGAAACCAAACTGCTCACTTTCGGCGGAGGTCAAGATTTCTGGAAACCCCTGAAATCTGGTTTAGCCCGTTGTCCTCAAAAGCGACAAATTGTTCTAGTTCGACGAGTGTTCTAATGTTCTAATAAGCAATTATTGTTTATGTTTCTGCCCCCCCCCCCCAATCCCACACACACACATACACACACACGCACACACACACACACACACACACACACACACACACACACACACACACACACACACACACACACACACACTTTTTCAAACTCTCAGGACAAAATGGCCAACGCTGTAGCCGCACTGTTCCTGTCTTTTCTCTTTCTGGCCTCCGCCACAGTTGTGAAACGCCCTTGTGCGGGTAAGTGTCTAGCGACCATGTACATCTCCGTCCGTGTTCTGCTCCACTTCGTTGGCAGCTTCATTGGAACACTGATATTTTCTTGCCTGATAAATGTAATTATGTTTGTCAGGAGACTAATGAAAATAGTACTGACTGTACTGCTACATATTTGATTATGTAGTTTGATATCATCA